AACTTCCTTCTTCCTTCCCCAAATTGTTATTCTAAAATTACTCTTAATTCAGCAATTTTTCCAGCTGCTATCTAGCCTTGCCCTTGGAAGTTGCAGGAGCTTGACCAAAGACCTGGTTCTTTCCTAGCTAGCTAACATCTGTAATTGCTCAATAAACCATTTATTTCAGAAAGCCCTCCATCTCAAGAGTTTTGCTTTAACAGTCACAGGGAAAATGCACCTTCTGTTTTTATTCACTCTTTTATGGTGCTCCCTTCTACCAAGGATCCCAGCATGAATTTCGAGGTTGGATTTAAAGGAATGTATCACAACAGACAGCTTTGGCTAAAGTGACCATCAATCTCCCACTAGAACTGGCTTTTAAAATAAGATTTTTTAAAAATGTGATTGTTAGGCCTTCCTAGGAAGCACAAGACCCTGAGTTCAAACTCTAGGACCTCCAAAAAACAAAATGTGAACTTTAAATGTAAAAACACATACCTGAAAGTTCTCTGATTGTGCCGTCATCCACATAGTATCTTCATTCTTAGACTAGCAATAAGTTGGCTTTCCCACTCCTGGGTATCACATCCAAAATGACCATATCCAGAGGGGAAAGGGGTCCATCTCTTCCTCAGGTCTTTTTTGGAAAGTGAAGAAAACTTTCTTTCAAGCTTAAGTTCCATGAAGCTGCAATAATGGAGCATCAGCTAAGATGTCCCTCTGTCCTTCAAGTCCATCATTGGGGTCAACCTCCTTTGCACACTAGACAGAGCCCTAGAGAAATTTGAAGATGGTCTGGCTCAGTCCTACCTTCAGATAGTCTGAGTTAATTATCCTGGTCGTTTTCAAAGTTCCCAGATGATTCTAGCGTACAGCTGATGTACAGAACCATGATGCAAATAGGAGCCTGATAATCCCACAATCCATACAGTGCCTGCAGTCCTAGGGCGAGCCCATTCTCTGCCTTGTTACCCTAGATATCTGGTCTCTTGTGCCCACTGAAAACTTTATTAAATTGCATCTTTTTTAAGATGCAAAAACAGGCAAAGAGGAAAGCATATAAATTTACTTAATATAAGTTTTATGTGACATGGGAGCCTTTGTGAGAAAATGAAGACCCTAGTGGCTTGGTGTTTCATAAAGCAATAGAAGCAGGAAGATCACTGTCACCTTCCCCGTCTGCCCTAAAGCAGGCATAAAACCTAGAAGGATTTTCTGACCTTCTCTTGAAGCAGATCCCAAGACAATCATGTAGGTGCTGCCTTTCCTGACCTGGAGGAAAGGTACTTCTGAACAAGTGGGACTTGTTCTGTTCCCCCCAATTTACTACTGTGAGATGGTACCCTCTTTGTGTAACCAGATTTCATGATGACTGTCCACTCATTATCCAAACTAAACATAAAAAATACACAAAGTTGCCTGTTTCTTCAATTCTTCATTTCATTATGAAGACTCCTATGTCATTTAAAATAATGTTAAGTTAAATTCAGATTTAATAAATCTGAATTTTTCTCTTGCTAATCTGTCTATTGCTAAAGTTTTGAGCCAGGAACCTAGCAATGGTGAGGAAGAGATACAACCAAGAGAGAGGAGTGGAAATAGGGATTGAGAGAACAATCAGCCAGGAGGAGGTGGGGCAGAAGAACAAACGTGGCCTTTGTCCATTGGCATGGAGAAGATACTTACAGGCCACAGTCAGGAGTTTAGATCTTCTTCTAAAGTAAAGGGAGGCCCCCAGCAAGTGAGCAAGGGTTTAAGATAAGGAATCAAGTGTGTGAACAGGGAGACGACCCAGCAGGAAATGTGGCGATGGTCTGGACCCAGGTGACCGTTCCTCAGGACTTTTACTGCTCTGTGTCTGTAGTCACCAAGTAGAATCACCTTAAGTATGGAGGAGCCTGACTTCCACTGGCTTTTCCAGCTGATCTTACTGGTCAGCTGACTCCTGAATCTGCAGCTACGTGCTATAATAAAGTCCTGAGGAGGTGACCTCCTCGAATCATCTCAGTTTTCTGATTAATCATTTAGCTGGGACACCTAAGATGACTCAGGTAAAAAGATACATGAACTTCAGGTCAGGATCACAATCCTATCTCAATCATATAGCAGCCCCCTCCTTCAGGGTGTGTGTGGGGGTATTTTAAAAACCTTATTTCCATCCAATCCCGGTTTCCTAGCAACCAGGAAGAATCCTCTGCTTTCCGGATGTCTGTGAGCACCAGTCCAAGCCCGCTTCTGCTCAAGCTCGTCCAGGAAGCAGAGAAAGAACAAAAGCACCGCCATCATCACAGGTGGTGAGAGATTCTCCAGGGGGATTTGTGAAGAGCCCGGTGGGCACCTAATAGAACGTGGCAGAGATGTGTGCCACAGTTACAAGGGTTGCAGGGGGACCCGCATGGGGTGTGCAGAGATTCCGCAGTGCATGGAATTCCTCTAGAATATGGGGGCTGTGACTTCTGGGAGGTTGTCTCTATGAAAGAGCTGAAGCCTGAAGGCAGATGACATCTTTCAGTACTGCTTTTGTGTGTGTTTCCAGCCACTGGTCCAGTTTTCTTTAATGCTCTATAGACAGAAAAGAGGGGTGATTGGCCAAATTCAATCAGAACTGAGTAGTCTATGTAAATGACCCTTTTTCAACAAGAGAAAGCTGCCCCATGCATGTACATCACCGAATTCTGCAGTAAGAAGGAACCAATCCAATCATTAGATACTTGTTTTGTAGAGGAAGAAAAGCAAGAAACAGAGTGGAAAATTCACCTGTCTATGGTGACCCAGCTAGCTGGCCACCTTGTAGGATCACCTGACTCCAGCCTAGGGATTTGGGTTGGGAGATACTCATTTTTAAAAAAATATTTAAGCCTTTGAATTGATGCCACATTGAACTGGAAGGGGGGGGCGCTAAGATGAAGCTGCAACAACTAAAGACTCAAATTTTATTATTTCTAAGTCTGAAATTCAAGGGCTTGCTCAGAATTACAAGAAAGGGTTAAGACAAATGCCGAGTCTTCCACATTTTAGGCTTCAAAGTTAGTTGAGCATACTTCCTCACAGACCTGAGGTAGGACAAATGTCCTATGAACAAGTGTTTTTCCTTTATGGAGTGAGAGAGAATGTTAGAGCGAAAGGTGATGTTATCCAAGCCTATCATTTTTTGGTAGCACTGCGACTGAGGTGTTGGCCGTGGCTATGCCAGTCAGTGGTGGAGTGGATACCTCACCCTGCCCTCTGGATTCCTTGGGCCAGGGCTTTTCCTTCTCTAGGAATGAGGTCACCTCTGTGGCTTGCGGGTCCTCCTCCAGGTGACTTCTCTGCAGAGAGCAATAGCAGTGTCTGAAGTTAATCTACTTCCTTCCCAGGCTTTCTCCTTAACCACTAACTCACCATTCCCAAAGGACAGAAGCAGATGTAGCAGCAGTCAGAAGGATTCAAAATAATTTAGTTATGCTCATGAATTGAATGAGTGGCATCCGGTTACCCTCTGCTTGATGTCAGAGAGCTTATTCAAATGAATCTCAGTGTTTCTGTATGACAATTGTCAAGCAAAGTTTCTAAACTTTTTTTCCAACTATCTTTAACGTGATTTAAAAGTGTATGCAAAATTTTAAAAATACAAAGGGTAATTTAATGAATATCCAGGGACTTTCCATTCCAGAACCAAAATAGCTGATAATGTTTTTGTCATATCTGTGTTGTATTCAGTGTTCTCCAGAGAAGCAGAATGTGTGTGTGTGTGTGTGTGTGTGTACGCACAGGTAACTGCAGACACCTGGTCAGCTCACACATACACATGCAATGTACACAGAGAGAGAGAGAGAGAGAGAGATTAATTGATGCTAAGGAATTCGCTCACATGATTGTGGAAACTTGGGCAGTCCAAAATCTATGTAGGAAATCAGCAATCTTCAGACCCAGGGAAGAGTTGCAATTAGAATATAAAGGCTGTGTGCTGACAGAACTCCTTCATGTTTATTTCTTTTGGCCAAATAAGTCAATCACATGGTCAAACACAAAGACAAAGGATAGAGAAAAATATATTCTACCTATTTAATAAGGGGACCTGCAAAAAAAAAAGAACTCCTTCATGTTAAGAGAGGTCAGTGTTCTTTCAAGATCTTCAGCTGAATAGGTAAGACCCACTCACATTACACAGTGTAATCTGCTTTAGTCAAAATCCATCAATTTAAATGTTAATCTTATCCAACAAACACTTTCATAGAAACATCTAAAACGGTGTTTGACCAAATAGCTAGGCATCATGGCCCAGCCAAGTTGACACATAAAAGTAACCATCACAATGTGCTTAAAATCTAATTTAAAGAAATACAACATTACAAATAGAGTTGATTCCTATTTACAATTATCACTGAATACCTCCTTTTCAAACGTGATGATTTTTATAAACTCCTTTTTGTGACTTCAAACCCCTTTTGACCCAATCAACTGATCTTAAATTTCTGGTTCAAAGTTATGGTGGGAATTGAAGACAAATTTATCATGATCACATGGTTTTTCAAGAACCTCTAAAAAAAAGCTCCATCATGAGCCATCCTCCCAGGGTGGACACACTGGAGTCACCATGGTGAGTGCACGCAGGAAACCGCCAACATATTCAGATCACAAATCATCCATGTTCCCAGAGTTCTTCTGCCCAAATGGCTTTTATCAATGACCACATGAACCATTTCTCATTTATATGCTAGATTATTGTAAGGATGAGTACATAATAAGTGTTAGAAAACCTTGGAAGGAATATAAGATGTCAGATAGATACAAGGTACAGTGCACTAGCCTCTGGACAGCTTTCTGACTTGGAACCTACTGTAGAAGAGGCCTAAATCCTGTTCCCCCTCAGATCCCTTCCACAACCTAGGACTCCATGACTGGTATTTGGAGCAACAGCATCCCTAATTCAGATTCTCTCTGATTTGCTGCTGTAGCTTCTAGGCTGAGTCTCCCCAAAGGATATCAGACACAGTGTAAGCTGGAGGTAACCTGCTCAGCAGGATAAGCCTTGGGTCATGGAAAGAAGGCTCATAAAGAAGGAAGTGAAAAAGCTACTGTGAGTATTCCTGAAAATGACTTTCATTTGTGACTCTTGGCATTTGGTAGGTTGTCATTGGTGCTTTGGATATTGGCAAGTGGGTAAAAAGCTAAGGAAGACTCTATTCCAGCACTATAGGAGAAAATCAGAAGGTGGTCTGGCCTTTGTCTCTTGCCAGGGAGGCCCCACAATGGTGCAAGACGATGAATGTTTTGGGGGGGTGTTTGGGCTGCCAGCATGCACATGTGAGACACCCCCATTCTAGAGCCTCAGAACAGAGCCACAGCCTATTCAGCCTGTGGTGTCAGGAGGGACCATTGAAAGGGGCAGAACTTACAGATACAAGATAAAGGAGAGATTCTGAGAAGATGTACCTAAGGGCCCAGCATTTAACTTGCAGCCTCTGCCTCTTTTATTGTCAGCCTTATCAGCCAAATAATGCATCTCCTTTTTCTTGACTACTGAACTTGTTCAAGCTAACTCAGGAAATACCAAGTTTCCCATGGAATTTTTTCCCCCTCCATCGTAGCTTTTCTTTGACTTGGTATTTAACAATGTTAGTAAAAAATCACAGACCATATAAAAGGGGGAAAAGATGTTACATTCTATTTCATATGTACTACAGGCAAAATACCTTTTTCACTAAAGACCTTATTACAGGCCTCATCAAATGTTCTCTCTCTGCCTGTGAAGGTAAATGTCTTTTACTACATCCTTAAGAAGCGTGGGAGTAAACCATGTATGAATTCACATATTTACACATATGTGTTTGAAATTCAAAATAGTAACAAAGAATAAACCATAAATCAGGATTTCCAATTCCTCTCTGTATCTCATTCAATGAATTATAATTTCAAACTGACATGAATTTACTTGTATGTAGAAAGAATACATTTAGGCTACTTTAAGGTATCTTGCAATGATACAGCAAAAACTCAAGAATTTCTTTCAATCTAGAAAAATTTAATGACTTAAAAGAAAGCTTTAGAAGCCAAAACCAAGCATTATCCTCCACTGTAAACTAGCTCAAGGTGTCCCAGTGTGATAAACAGACAAACAGCCCTGGCCTCATATAAAATTGTAAGATTTGATGATGAGCCTTACAGACCCTGTATCCAGGGATATGATGCCCCTTTCTCTTTTCTTCCCATTGTGCATATCTACCTCCTTTTATTAACAGTCACTGTTAGGCTAGTGGAGTGGCTCAAGTGGTAGAGCGCCTGCATAGCATGCATGAGGCCCTGAGTTCAAACCCTAGTACTGCCAATAAATGAATAAATAATGAGGAGATACTTGAAAATAATAAACATAGCATTTAAGATAAAATCACTGTTGGTGTTGGCTCAGGTGGCTCATGCCTGCAATCCTAGCTACTTGAGAAGCTGAGATAGAGAGGATTGTGGTTCTGGGCCAGCCCAGGCAAAAAAGTTCATGAAACTCCCATCTCAACAGACAAAGCTGGGCATGATAACTCATGCCCATCATCCCAGCTATAGTGAGAAGCCTAAAGTAGGAGGATCATGGCCAGACCAGCCTGAGCAAAAAAGCAAGATCCTATTTTCAAACTAACCAGAGAAATAAGGGCTGTAGGCATGGGTAGAGCACCTGCCTACAAACTTGAATCCTGTATAAAAGTCACTGTTAGGGATGAATCTGATAAGGATACACCAATTGGAATAACTAGGTTTTTACGCATAACTCCTCCTGAGAGCATTTGCAGTCTAATGAGGACAAGCCTTAAAGCAAAAAAAATACATCTCTGTAGCATTTTCTGTGTCTGCAATTTATCAGTTTTGGACATTCTGCCTGAACTTAGAATGGGCAGCAAGCAAACCTTTGTTTTAAATAGAGGATCTCAAACCTAGTCTTATAAAAAATCTTTTCTGTATATGGGTATTTGGTATACTTCCTGAAAATTCTGTTTGAACATTGAGTTTAATTTTTAGATAAATGTGATTTAAGTTAATTTTGGTTAGACATTTTATACCTGCAGCATTGCAGGATTACTGTGAAACAAAAATTGAATATTAACTCAGCTACCAGAAAATCAGTGACATCCGTCAGAATTTGGTCTCAGAGGGAGGAGTTGGGAAGAAAGCCTGTTTGGGCAGACTGAGCCCCATGTCACCCACAATGGTTCAATGCTGCTCTCTTGCTTTTAAGGGGAGATTATATTGGCATCAGACTTCGAGAAAATGAATTTGACCCAAAAGGAAGAAGGCAACTCACCTTTCTAGATGATATGGTAAAGAAAGGCATGTCAATGCCACTCACATTTGTGTTCTTGTGTACGAAGGGGACAGAACAAGAATGGAACTTATATAGTAAGCCAGGCTAGCATATACACACACAAAGACACATGTGTGTGCACACACGTCCTCTTCCTCATCTTTTCCTCATTCTAAGTTTGTCTACATGGTCATTTCCGCACACAAAACAGAAAGCAAAAACAAAAATGAGAAAATAAAAATCCTATTAAGGGGAGAAAAAAATTAAAAAGCAAAAGAGTGCAAGATAAATTCATGTTATTAAAATTTTCTGACAAAATTAGCTATCATGTACTTCTCACACATAATCATTCCTTTCCATTTGCATTAGTGGAGGAGACCAAAGCAATAAACAAATCCTAAAGTCTCTTGTGTTAGTCATGCTGAGATCCAAGTTTGTGTTAGGTTCTGCTAGTTCTGGCACAGAAATTAGGGAAGAAATCACAGAAAGGTCAAATCCCAGTTTTCCCTCTTACTATCCTTGCAATAAGAAGGATAGTAAGGACAGTTCTCTCTGCTCTCCCCATCTGACTAACGTAAGGCTCACTGACTTTCAAACCTCTTTGGAGCTAAGTTTGTACTTAAGCCTTTTTTCTTCTGTACACACCACATTAAACAGAGAAATTAAATAGATTAGCGCTGTGCTTGTCAAACTTTAATGAGTCTTATCACAGTGCTGTTTTGGTTCAAGGAAGGGGTGGGGCTGGGAGTTTGTGCTCTAATGAGCATACAAGTGATGCCATTGCCACTGATACAGGCATCGAACTCTGGATTCAGTTTCAACAACTGAGCATGGCCCGACTTCCCTGATTTATTTATTTAGGTGCATGTGTCAGTTTGATTCAGTCCCTGTAAGAAATAACTGTATTGCTTAGAGAATATTAGAACTTTAAAACTCAGCTAAAATAAACAAAACCCAAACCAACCTTCTCTTTTCTGGGTGTTGGGGATGGGAAGGAAAGAATGATTATACTTGCATAGATAAATCGTAAATATGTTTAATGAACAAAAACTCTTAGAAATTACCAGGAAAAAGTCATCAGTAATACAAGAATGAACACCCACATTGATCCTTAGCTGCATAAAGCTTTGTGAGACTCTCTGCAGGTCACCACATCTGGTCTACCTCCCCTCCTTTGCTCATACTGGTCCCTGCACCTGGGTTGTCCTCCATCTGTAGAAACTCTCCTCATCCCCAAGGTCCAAGAAAGCCTCCCCTCTGAAGCCTCCCAGGATTGTCCCTACCTCCCCAGTGCACACAACTGTCTTTTCCTCCAAGTTCCTGCACACCTCCCTGTGCCCTGGAAGCACATTTCTGACACAGTACCGAATCAGAATGGCTGTCTGTAACCCTTTTTCCTCAACTTCACCTTTTGCTGTGGGCCCAGAGAGCATCACTCACTCACCAAGAATATAAGCCAGTTGTTGGCAATACCTAGATTTGAGCCCACATTTCCCAGCCCAGAACCGAGGTTAGTATTCTCTTCATTAATTTAGCCTTTTTTTTTTCTGGACCACAGAAATCAAATAACTGTTTTAGTGGAAGATAAATTTAATGCCTGAAGATCCTGAAGTATTTCTGGTGAGCTTCAGGTTATTAAACATAGGTAATGACCCTTCTCATCTCAGACATGATAGATAGAACAGGCTTAGCAGTGCCATCATCACTGGGTCAGGGAGACCTTGGTCAATGTCTAAGCTCTCCTCTGCATTCCGTACTTCCCCCTTCCCAGGCACACTATGACTTGGCCATCAGCATTGCTTTGCAATGGCTGGATCACTCAGAAGACTTGAATTGGCTGGAGCGGGAGGAAGTGTAAGTTGAAATACATTTGTTGTTTTTCTTCTTAACATGTGACTGTGATTAATGATAGAGGAAGTTCCAGCCCTATCTGGTATCTTCCACCATGAGGAACTCTGACTGGAAAACACTTCCAGAGCGAAAATCCTCCTTCAACTAGAAACTTAATGAAATACCACAGTTGCAAGCTTGAGGAAGTCATAGATGTGTTCATGTATTTTCATTTCTACTAATTGGTTTTTGTTACATTAAAACTTTCTTGCATGGAATATTCCACTGAGATACATGACTATGCTTCATGTGTACATGCTGTGATTTTTAAAACTGTCAGCTCTGTGGGTAAAGGCTACTATTTTTTTTCCCTAAAGATAATCAAACCCAGTTTCTGGAGTATGTAAACAGACATGCACCAGAGCTGAACTGTTTGAATCATGGAATAACTTCCATTCCAGGATTATTGACTTTTTCTCCCCACGCATAATGTCGAGGGAAGTTCTGAAGCCAGGACCATGTAATCTGTTCCAGACACCAGTTCTTTTTCTCTGTTCCATGGCCTTGGACGACACATCTGGTCCTTCCTGAATGGAGCAGCAAGGGTTTTGTTATAACAAACAGAAAATCCATTTTGAGAAACCTTAAGCAAACAAACAAAAAATCAGGGAAGAGGTAGATTTGATTGCCTCTACCGGAAAAAGTCTGTGAAAAGGTCTGTGTTCAGCATAGTTTAGTTCAAAACTTGACTAATGTCACTAGGATCTACCATTTGCCTCTGTATCCTTTGGGTGGACACCATTCTTAGTTTCAGTTCTTGTCATTAAAACATTCAGTACAGGAGAGGGTGGATTTAATAAACAAAAAACCAAAAAAAAATTTTCTCAAAGACTGTGCTTGCCCTGGCTTGTCTTGGGGAATGGAATACACTGGCTAGTTGGCAGCACGCTTTCCATTCTTGGAATTTAGGGATATTTTCAACTTCCCTAGAAGCATAGAGGCTTACAGAAGGGCAGGGCAGATTGCCCCCAGAAAATTGCCACAAGAAGGGGAAAAGGCACTGCTTAGCTAAACTATGGACATCCACAACCGTGGCCAGTCTGCCAGTGTTTGATAGCTATGAAAATATGGCTAAGGAAGACAAGTTCATCACCAGTACTGGAAGATTAAAAATTGAAAGTGTGTATTTCTCCGATGAAGGGTAAGCCATATAAATTGTATAAGTCAGTAGGCAGCATGCAGCCATTACAGTTTGCTTATGGACTATTATCACAACTTTAGCAGATGTCAAAAAATAATAATAATAAGGGCTGAGATAAGGCTCAAGTGGCTAGAGTGCTTGCCTAGCAAGTCTGAGGCCCTGCATTCAATCCCAAATACCACAAACAAGAATAAATTCTCCACTCTTACCTATTCATATTCCTCCTTAGGAAAATGCCATTTCATGGCAGACCCATATATCCAAACCGTAGAGAACGAGAAGCAATGATTTTATCATCTTATGCTGGACTCTTAATGGTAAGAACACTATTGCATATATGGAGATTTCAGATCTACTATGTGCATTTTGATATTAATACATATATATGCTATGTTTCCAATGAATTTTTGTAAATGTTTAGGATTTACTAATAATAAATGCTTCATTTTTTTAAAGACATAATAAAAATATTTTTACTTCTACACCATATTGCAAAACATCTATTTAAGTAACTAAAAGAAAAAGAAAGAACAAGAGATGTAACTAATTGATATCTGGAAAACTGATTTATGTATTCACTCAGAAGGTATTTATTTAGTGCCCATGCAATTACATACAGTACTAGACATACTGGAACTTTAATAGCTTTGTTTTATAATAAAACAAAAGCCGTGATATGACGACATATTGTTGTTGCTTAAACAGAACAGTGTCCCAATTGAGGAAGTCTTTAAAATTTACGGGGCTGATTCTTCTGCCAATTCTGGAACTACCAAGGTAAGAATGACATGGGACTATCATATAAGGAATTTTGAAAGACAGTTTATTGAGTTTATACATTTATTATAAATAAATTATTTATTTATTATACATTATTATTTATTATTATTACATGTATTTTTCAGGCATCAGTTATGAAATAACAATTCTATACAAAAATGTACAAAACCACATTTCTTTCACTTGAGTAACACAGGTTTATAAAATACCTTCCTTCAGAACTACATGGTCATTATAAGCATGTCCATGTAAGGCTGCGTAGGACAAATAAATAGAGCACTAGGCTTACAGTCCAGATCTTTGACCTAATATAATGTTTCACTCATGCTTTTTGTCACGTGGATTTGGATCATTTGCTCTTAAATGATGTACTGTATCAGCTAGAACTGGGCTAGATTGACCTGGCTCATTCTCAGCATAAAGAATCTGGTTTACTGCTGCCACTTAACTCTTTCCCATGAAACTGCTTGGAAATCGCTTGCAGTAACAAGGACCTGTGAGTCCAGAGACCTGGGTCTAAGCTCTGACCCTTCCACTACAGAACTCAGGACCGGTCCCTTTCCCACTTTGGGACTCCTTATACTGATCTTTTACTTAAAAAAAAAAAAAGAAAGAAAGAAAGTTTTCTGAATAATTTTAGACTAGTTCAGGGTTTTTTTGCAGTATGGGGACTTGAACTCATAGCTTCACATTTGCTAAGCAGGTACTTTACCACTTGAGCCACGCCACCAGCCATTTTTTGTGGTGGGTATTTCTGAGATGAGGTCTTGCAAACTATGTGCCTAGTTTGGCTTCAAATGGTGATCCTCCTGAGCTCTGCCTCCTGAGTAGCTAGGATTACAGGTGCGAGAAGAGCCACGGGCATCTGGCTGCAGGTTCAGTTTTTGCCATTTAAGAGTTATGAAAATTCAATAAGCATTTAACATGGACTGTGATTTAGAGGCGAACTACTAATTCCTTTACCTTTAGATACTTATATGCAGGGAAGGGGAGGGAGAACCAATACCTAACGCCCTCGCACTGAGCTTTCTACACACACTGTCACTTGCGACATCTCCACCTGGATTTGGGAGGGAGGCCAGGGCCAGGCCAAGCCCACACTCACAGGGATGCCTGCCTCCCAGTTCTTTGACCTGCAGACCTGACTGCAAGCTGTGGATCATGTAAAGCTCAAGAGCTCACAACGACCACCTTAAAAGCCAAGTCTTTACTAATTGTTGTAAATTTGAAACCAAGCTTCCCATCACCTTGATCCATGTGTGAACTGATTGTGGTGCTGAGACTCAAACTCCCTTGATCACTAGGAGAAAACCTTCTCTCTGACCACTTTATTTTTCAACTCATTCCACCCATCTAGCCATCCATTTGCTCATTCAATGTAGTTGTAGGTGCAGGTGTACAACCAAGAGCAAGTCAGACAAGATGACTTTCCTACAATTCTTATACCCTCTCTCGAGGCTTATTTTGGTTGAGATATAAACCATCTTGGGCCCAGTGCTCCTCAGAGACTAAGTTTTTCTTTGCTTTTAAGGAAAGCTCAGCTCTCTGGATTCTTTGGGTAGCAAACCACGCTGCTCCATTCCTGCTTATTTCCCTACAGCAATCTCCCTTCCAGGTTGTGCTCTTTCCTTTCCCCAGCCCCCCAGCACACACACACAAAATAGTGAGCCTCTGGTTGAGTCACTGTTTTCTCCCCCTCATCTTCTGGGCCTGAGGAGGTATAGGGCAGGCATCAGGCATGTCTAACTTGTTGTTTCCAGCTCCCATGGCCTGAGGACAAATGCAGAAAGTCTTATCCTGGAAGAGATGGCACTGTGACCCCCTCAACTTGCTTGGGTCGTCAGTCAAGGTTCACAAATACAAATGCCTGAGCAGCCTAAATGAGTCAAGTTCACAAAAAGGGGCTGGGAAAAAGAAGACATCTGTTTAGAGGTGGGCCAGACAATGCAACAATAGAAGTCAGATGTGTATGTGTGTGCACTACAAGTGATAGGTTCTGAACCTCCATTGGTTTGTGGCCATGGCATGAGGTCATTTCTTGATTTATATGTGAACGGCAGTTTGCGAGTTTGCGTAATGTTAAACCCTAGGATTCAGAAGCCTCGCTGCCTGGCTTTCAATCCCAGCTGCACAGATCACAAGCACAATAATCCTACTCATAGTTCCTAAGCTCTGTAAGCATCAATTTCATCTGTAAAAGCAGGAAAACAGATGGGGTTTTGGGGGTGTTAAGTGAATGAGTGCCAATGAAGCCCTAGTGGTTAGCACTCAAAACAGTAGTTATAATTAAGGTTGTGCTACTGAATGGTTGGAGTTCTGATTTCTTCCATGTTTTTCTATATCAGGATTTTTAAAGACATTTTTGAGCAAGAAAATTCTTTTACCAGGGATTAAACTCAGGGCCTCCCACTTGTTAGGCAGACACTCTACCAGTTGAGCCACCTCTCCTCTCCTCCCCCAGCTCTTTTTGTTTTGGTTTGGTTTTTTGTGGTACTGGGGTTTGAACTCAGGGCCTGACACTTGCTAAGCTCTACCACTTGAGCCACTCTACCAGCCGTGTTTTGGTTTTTTTAAGATTGGGTCACTTGTTTGGGGTTGGCCTGGACTGCAATCCTCCTATGTGAGCTTCTCACTTAGCTGGGATCACATTCCACAAGTCCAACTTTATTGATCAACATGAGTTCTTGCTTACTTTTTTTGATGGGTCTGGTCTGATCTCCCCCTCCTGAGTAGATGGGATTACAGAAGTGAGCCACTATGCCTGGCTTGTGTCAGATAAACATTTGTTGTGTGTGTAAGGGATTCGGTTAGAATTAGGGACTGTCAGTGTATTGTGGGATGTCTGGTCTCTATCTATTAGATACAAATATATTTGCTTCAGTTGTGACAATAAAAAATGTCTCCAGAATGCCAAGTGGCTTCTAGGAATCAAAAGTCACATCTGGTTGAGTACCATTGCCCTAAATACTGAAATTATAATAAACAGCTAATCAAGCATGTATGTGTAATATTAACAAAATGTAAACTTTGCCCATTTGGGGCAACCAAGCCTCACAAAGGGTGGCCCTACAGCCATGTGAGGATCTTTTCCTGTGAGCCCCTAAGCAACTCCCTGCCTTCAGAATGTCAGCCCTGGCTTTTCTCTTACATAGACTCAGCCCTGGGACCTCCACCATATCTTGAATAAGGAATGAGTGGGCTCTCTCAATGGAAATTTTAGCATTTCCAAATTAAAGTGTGAGACTATTTTAGAACAGTCCTTTAGGGTTTAATGTACCTTCAAAAAAAAGAGAGAGCGAGAAAGGGAAAGAGAGGTTTTAACTAGAAGGAGTTGCTCGTTTAAAAAAAAATACTGCCAAAGGTTCTTTAATTGCTGCATATATCTGAATGACCTTTGATTCCTTTGGATAAAATGTCTCCTAAACAACAGATAAAATACTTCCCAAGCGAAAGCTTGAAACCCTATTGAATACTAATCAGATTATGTAGAATTGCCCACAACTGGAATGGCCCCTGATACAGTTCTCAGGCTTGGTGGCTTTCCAGGGCTATTTGCTGCCACCTGGTGGCAGAAAGGCATCACAGGCTCAGTACTGTTCACTATTAACCCCAGGCTCCACTCCTGATAGGCAGCAGTGTTTTGCTGACAGCTTTATTCTGCTAAGGACTCTGGACTCAGAGAAAAAAATTCAACTAAGCACCCTACGTAAGTAAGGGCTACTTACAACTAGCTTCAGATAAATATAAAATGTCCTACCTGATTTAAACTGAAGAAAAAGCATAAATGTTCCTTCACCCAATAAAGCAAGCGACAAAAATATTCTTCAGGTCCATTTTATGGAGAAAAAAGCAAAAAAAGAAAAAAGAAAGAAAGCAAAGAAAAGAAAGGGAGGCAGAGAGACTAAAAGTAGGAACATCAGAGAGAGGAAGAAGACAAGGGCAGTGAATAGAGCACAGGAAGATCTCTGCCTCTTCTGTCTTCCTGAAGCACATCCCATCTGTCCTAATCAACATTTGAAGCTCAAAGCATGATTTCAGAGACAGACTGATGTCAAGTCCTAGCTCTGTCACTTGCTAGCTGTGTGGCCTCTGATGAGTTATTTAAGGTCTGTGATTCCTGATTTTCCATGTGTAAAGGGGCATGCCAAACTAGGCATGATTACCTTCTCCAGTCACACCAGGCTGTCCTGAGAAATAAGTGAGACATGCATGTCCAGTCCATGACAAGGCCAGAGGGGAGCCTTTCAAATCAGTGCTGTTATTTCCAAGCCTACCTCCACTCAGATGCCAGACTCCTCCCTCCCAACAGTAGCATATCCTCCCTACAATAGGCCTGTTTTCTACCCTCTCACACTCACACCAGTAGTCTGTTAAGTGCCCTCTCTTCTTAGAGGATGTTGACTCGGACTGAATTGTGCAGAGATGAGAAAGTGGTTTCATGACAAGAAGAGGGAACTAGGATTTAAACAAAAATCAACAGATTTTTTTTTTTCTGTACTGAGGTTTGAACTCAGGGTGTCAGGCTTGCTAAGCAGGCATTCAGCCACTTGGAGCCACATCTCCAGCCCAACAGATCTTAATAATGAGGGATTAAAAAACATGTCTTCAGTGTTATGTCCACTTGTATAGCTTAGTCAGTAGATCATCAATATTGTGTCCAAATTAATACTTACCATGCATGTTTAAAGTATAATGACCAAGCAAACACACAAATACACCAAGTATATGAAATGGAAACATATCAAGAGATTACTATTCTTTTATAGTTTCACCACACATGTATATCTAAGTAGTATATTATTTAATTTTGCAGCTCTTGAAATTTTTTTGGCAATACTGGGGTTTGAATTCAGAGCCTTCACACTTGCTAAGCAGGGATTCTACCACTTAAGCCATACCTCAAGTCTTTTGAATTTTATGTAAATAAATTAATAGCAATGTGTCAATCTCTGTTTTGTTCTTTGGTTTTTTTTTTTTGACTCAACATTATTTTTCAG